AATTTAGACGAGCGGAGTATTATACGGTACCCGAGTAAGTGCAAGTGTAATAGCGAGCATAAATTCAAGGATGGCCCGCAATCTTCCTGAAATCTCGGACACGGTGAGCCGGCAGTTAGCCTCCGCGATCTCCTGAATATTTGAGGAGATCGTCCTCCCCTCGGCATCTGGGTACTGTGGGAGACCCAGACACAATGGATGCCGCCAGTCGCTCGCTCGACTTTCGACTTTCCAACTTACGGCGTTAGAATGATCGCTCGTTACGAATAGATAGCTCCCGACGCGTGACTGAAAGCACCTTTTTAGCCGTCCGTTTCTAGTTACTCCAATTCATATCTATTTTCCTTTATCTAGTTTACTCGTAAATCTTAGAGTAGAGAATATCGGTTTTATGAATATTTTCTCTTGAAAGATTTAAACGCGCATTCTCCGTACAATTGCTAGCCTGAAATCTAACGAAGGGTAACCGGATCTGTCCGCAGACTTGAGTAACGACAGCTACGGGACGGTGGTGAACATGGGCCTGGACGGCGAGGGCGCGAGTCCAGGCGGCGGTGGCAACGGAGCCGGGGGTGGACCGCCCCGCGGATACCTGGGTGCGACGACACCTCCGTATCTCTCAACGTCCAGATCGCCGTCCTTACCACCCCAGTTCCCGTATCCGCCGGACGCTGGTCTCTCGGTGTACACCACTCTCGGTAAGCCTGACGTCAATTATCAAGCAGCTTACTCTCAAAAGATTACGGCTCTCTCGGTTATCAGCTCTCTGTATTTTTAAGTCTTCTAATCTGTCTCCTAACGTTTTCCCAATCCTTCTAACCCACCAACCCCAAGTAACACGTAACGCACCTGTTAGTCGTAATTTGTCTCATTATATTGTCACTCAACAATATAACTACATATAACACATGTGTTATATATTATATTATATTATAGTTATATTGTTGAGTGAGAAATTATAACTAACAGGTATCGTTACGTGTTACTTGGTGTTTGCTGGGTTAACTTTCTGAATCCTCGCAACTTCTTCGATTCTTCAACTCTCTTTCAACCATGTCGAGAGACTCTGACTTTTTTAACTCCCCCGAGCTTCTCGAATCGTCTGGATGCTCGCAAATCTGCCAATTTTCTCAGCTCTCAGCCCATTTCGGCCGAGCCTAGCGGTCAATAATACACTCGGGTTGAGACAGGAAGAGACTCCGCCGGGCGTTAAACTATTCTAGTGCGAGAGTCGCGCAAGTTTACGACTGACGCAAACCGTATGATTCCAGGGGGACCGGGCGGCATGGTGCCAGGACCAGCGTCGGATCTGAGTAACGAGTCGAGCGGAGGCGGCGGCGGCGGCGGCGGCGGAAGTGGCGGCGGCGGCGGCGGCGGCGGTGGTGGCGGCGGTGGCGGCGGTTACCCCGACTTCCCGCCGTCGCCGGACTCCTGGCTCGGCGAACCGCCACCCCCGCACGCTCACCATCATTCCCATTCCCATTCCCATTACGCCACATAACCCGCCAAAACCGCGCGTCGCCAAATACCGTGTAGAATAACATACTGGCGGAGCGGGACATTCACCTGAAATCGTCGTCGTCGTCGTCGTTATCCCCGGGGGAGCCGAAGAATTGTCTTCCCCGATGTTTCTTCGAGCAAAGTAATCAGTTTCGTAAACTTCGTAAAATACCGGATCCGTTCGACAGGGCTTGATTCTACTCTGATCTCTTTGACCGCAAGGAAGACCTAAAAGCGAAGACGAATCTTTATTTTTTTATTAGCAATGTGATAATTCAAAGTATCATCAAAATATTTTTCATATTTCTCATGTATAGTATTTATATTTTTTAATTTATTTTAGAGTAATTTATGGAATTTGTAGCATTTAATCTATTATCATTATTTTAATAATTTATCAATATTTAAGCAAATAATAGAGATCGCTTTCTTCGCCTTTAGATTTTTTACACTTTCGGTTAGGACAAGTTCGAATTAATCACGAAGTTGTTGATTGAAATTCCTTTGAAGAGATCGTCTATAATAAATAGCGAGAAAATTTTCGAGAAGATCATCCTCGACGAAAGCGACAGGATCTTCAACGACGACGGATTGTGCGACGCTCGCGAACGCCCCACGCGTTCCGAATCCGAGTTATTCTACGCCGGTATTTTACACCGTCCCTCCTCACGATCTTTCGTCATCCGAGCGGCCGTATCGACGCCATTCACCCTCATGGCATACGTACGATTCGCGCATTCGATACTAATCTAAATATATTTATGTACAAGTTCCTCGTTTCTCGAAGTTTGATTGTCGAGTAATAATAGGAGGTAGTGTTAAAATGTGTCCCGGACTGTTCGCGAATCCATTCGTCGTGATCTATGATAACCGATCGTTGATCAATTTTTTTTTTTTTGTCCGTGACGAGCCCGGCGGACAACTTGTAGAATACGAGAAGTAATCGAGAGAATTTTGTGTAACACAGAACACGTGTGCAGGCAGAGAAGATAGACGTGTATAGAAGCACGGATCTATATATCGGAATGTATCGCGAGCTGGGATGCCGAGGTACCCCGGCTAATTTTATTAATATTATTATTAATATTATTATAAATAAAATTAATAAAATTATTAAAATAAAACAATTAAAAAAAGATTTATTAATTTTATTATAAAATTAATAAAATTATTTTATTTTTTTATTAATTTTCGTATACCGCACTAATATACGGCATTCGTACTTCAATACTCGTCTATCTTCTCTGATGCGGGTTTTGTTTTTAGAGAAATGAGAGGTTTTTAGAGAGATGATGACACAGATATTTGATACTGTCCGAATGAATTCGCATCATCACGACGAATGTGATCATCCGTATGTTCGTACCGTTGCCTCTAGGCCCGATTTTCATAGTGCAAATTTTTAAAAACATCAAAATGTTTACGTAAATTTGATGTATAACTTACACACAAAATTCAAGATTTCGTAAATTAGTAAGAGAATTAATACATGATCGGATTACTTTCGAGTACAAGACTTGTTCTACTCTTATAATATTCTATCTGTCTTTAAAATATTTCAAAGTATATAATTTCTCAGAATGACGAGGTAAAACACACTCTGTATAATCTAAATTTTTAACGAGATTATTATGTTGTTGCTTTATTTTATCATCGAAGCAAGGAATGTTCTCTTTGATATTCGATTAAAATAAAATAATTTATTTCGATTTGTTATCATCGTTTGAGCGAAATTTTAATTCTGAAAATCGGGCATGTGTGCTGACGACTTACCTTGCTTGAGTGTGATGCTAGAATCTTGAAATGTATTGTAAATAGTACGAATTAGACCTGTAGGAAACTTGGTCCAATCCAGGATATCTCCGATTATTACTTCTTAATTACTTGCATTGTTGAACAAAAAAAAAGAGATCGAATTACATTAGCGACCAATATAATAATATAATTTATATTATATTCGCATGAGTGAACACACTTATTTTTTCCGAATTTAATATTTAAAAAATTGTATATAAACACAGCATTTTTTTCAAAATCGAATAATATGTGGATTGGAAACTTTTCCTAATTGAAATTGCATAAGAAGATTGACGTGCAAAGGTCTCAACACGCACACTAGACGTTACGTTAAACAGTATTTGCAATTTAATCGAAAGTTTAATAATGATTAAAAATGATTGAATTGAAATTTGAAATAAGTTGCAAACGCTTCTTTAGACACACGTTTGTTCATATTATCTCCACTGAATGCGTTTTAATTATTATATAAATTCGAAGTCTGAGAAGCGAACGCCAAGTCGCCTCTTTGAGTGGAATCTTGCGCATTCTTCTTCTGCTACTTTTGCGCGCCGATCTGTGCAATCAACGATCAAAATTATAGTAACTTCGAACTGCACCTCGCTGCTGATTAACTACGAGGTCGTGTAAGCCGTCGATTAATGATAACTCGTAAGTGACTCGCCATTGTGTATACAAAGAGGAAATTGAAAAATTGTTCTCAAGTCGGAAAAATATGTTGATAATCAAAAACAAGAAGAAAACGAGGAAAAGAAATTTGAACGACTTGAATGTACGATAAATGTTAAGCGAAATGCATGGAATAATAATATGAATCTAGATGGATTAACTAATTGCTTGCTCTTTCGTATATATTTAACTGTTACATTTTCACAAATTGCACAAGAATAGTAGAATATTTCAGTTTATATTGTGTATCATCATAATTTCTCTAATACTTTCATAGATTATATTATCTCTGCTAAGAATATTATAAAAATAGGTTTCAGATATTTACCAAGATTTTGAATAAATGTAATACGTATATAGGGTATATGAAAAAAAAAAAAACATTGCTTGATGGCACTTTGCAATTTAAATGATTCCGTGATGCAGAGGGTGAAAAATGAAACAGTAAATTGATTAATCCAAATACGTCTCATATTATTATTAAATGGCATGCAACACGACAGCGGCAGCAGCGACAGAAGCGCAAGAACGTCACTGTAGAATTGTATATATCTCGATACTGCTCCCAGCCCTCTCCATCACCCCCTTGTCTTCTTACATGCTCTCATACGTTCCATCAACGGGTGCGATTATCGCGAACGGAAGGAAACGGTAAAAAAAAGGTATATTAGACTTATAAGAAAGATTAATGTTGTACAGTATTTCTCTCCGCTCCTCGCCGGATGTGCGGTCGAAGGAATTCGCGCGTGTCTGGCGCGGTTCGTAAAACTTCACATCACTATGAGTTATTACGGATCTTTATATTATTATCTAGTCATGGAGTGATAATAAAAATTCTATCATAATCTTAATCTCCACGCGTGGTTTTATCTCCACATCTCTCAAGTGTCGCGGCGCTACGTGGGCTACATTACCGAAATGCGATTAGGCCGTCTTAGAAAGGAAAATGTAGGACGATGGATGATATTAGGCACGGAAATTCGGAACGCATAATTAACATGACGTACGTCACGCCTTTGTGATTGACGCGCAAATCCTGCATATCAATGGCACTTTATTCGTGGTGATTATGTACAGATGCTACATAACGATATACGAGATAATTATGTACACACATGCGAATTTCTGTTATTCATCAAGCAAAATACGTCAGCAAACGAAGACAGGCTTTGACATCGGCGTTCGCGCCGTATTCAGCATTTGGAAGAACTTTTTCACAATGACAGAAAAAAATTTACAAAAATGTCAAAAATATCATCGCGCGAGTTCCATATAAATATATACAAATCTCAATGTACAAATCCATCTTAAGCTCTCGTTCGTTTCGTTTTGTATTCTTTTTTTGAATAGAAAATAGATTATTTCTGTGTTCGTATGAAAATATCCTTGTCGCTTAGAAATCTTTCTCGTTTTAAAAATTTTGTAACACGTAAGCCTATGAGTATTACAATTCTTTTTTTGTACCGATATGTACCGTTAGAAAAAAATGTTCTCTCTCGTCTCGGAAAAAAATAATGTGAGAGGAGATAACTGAGAAACGCAGATAAAACACGATACATTGAATGAACAGTTAATCTATGAAAAACACAATTTAACGAGTAACAACTTCCCTACGTTCTACTTTCTCTTTCACTCTTTGTGCATAATATTTTTTCATCGGTCAGTCAGTCTCTGTAATCTCTTAGCGTTTAATTGTCCAAAGGTTCATCGAACGTCCTCGTCTTCTTCAGGATAGTTCTTGTGGCCAAGAGCTGCTTTATTATCGCCTTTTCAACGTTCTTCTTGTTCTTGTTTGAAGCCGATAAGTGCTCGAATGTGTCTTCCAACGCTTTCCTGGTTTTCATCAGTCTTCGTTTTAACGCTTCATTCTCCTGTTTCAAAGCTTCCACCTCTTCAAGACCTATGAAAGATAATTACAAAATTAGAATCACTTGGCATTTTTAAAAATAAATTTAAAAAATAAAAAAGTAAATTTAAAATTGAATGTTGTATTACAGATATAAAACTAATTAATCTTAAATTAAAACTATAAAAGTAGGTTTACAATTTTTTAAAAAGAATATATTAAAATAACGATTTTCTTTTATTTTGAAACGTACCTTCAATTGGTAATGGACTTTCACTGTTTGAATCTTGCGCTCTGTGGTTACCATTGTCCTCGTCGCTCAGTAAGTTAGTCATAGATTCTGTAATTTTTAATGTGTCTTTCAAAGGTCTCATCGTAGTAACGGCGCCGTCGCTTTCAATTCCCAAGTCTGGCGAGCAACTGGATTTACTGCGTCCTCCCAGTCCAGAGTAATTCGTCGGTTGCCAAAACTGCGAGCCCTATGATAAATTACAGAAATCAAAGATTTAATTTTACATTTACAATTCAGAAGCTTGAAAATGTTTAATAAGATGTGCAATTAAAATTGGTTACAAAATATCTGCAACACATAATATAAATTAATTACAAATAATGCAATTATATAAGTTTTTATACTGAAATAATAAATATGTTAAAAATAAAAATAATATAACAGCAATTCATGGATCATCTTTAAATGTGCAATGTTTAAATTAAATTAAATAAATTGTGCATGCCAAGTATTTAGCGTCACATGCAATTGTTAGGTTTATTGAAGTATTGTGATATAATATACCGATTATGCGTAATTCGCGACTCGCATTTGTTAAAAATGGACAATGCACTCATATCTAGTCTATTCATTTTTAATACATTCTACAAATAAAGCTTAGAAACAGACAGCTGCATTTAACGCTGGAAAACGGCGAACGACTAACGTTATAAGGTTGATATTCCTGCAGAATATCGCAGGTTTGCTTGAGCGTGGCGTCCGTGGGTATCGACGATACGCCACTCGAGCTCGCCGTCGAATCGCTAGCCTCGCACACCGCCATGTGTCTCCTGAACTCTTTATTCGCCGTTTCGAGCTCTTGCACCCTTGCTCTATGCGAATCGTTGATCTGATCGAGATCGCGTATCTGTGCCGGCGACGTCACATCACGTATTAGTAATGATACACACCCAGGAGAGCACTTCCAATTGAGCTAAAGCAATTGATCCAATTTCGCTTACCTCTTTGCCGAATTTATCGTGCAGCGAACGGACAGCCACGTCGTATCGGTTCTCCATCTTCCTTATGTCTTGCTCGAGTCTCAGCTTGTCGTTCGTCAACTTGGTGTTCTCCACGAATATCTGACTGTGCGAAAGAGTGAGATGATCGAGTTCATTTCTAAGCGTGGATATGGTCGTCTTCGCAGTCTCTGTTTCTTCCTCCAGCTGTTTGATTCTCGCTCGCAACTGAAATGGATCAGATCATTGAAGTTTTGTGAGCAGTTTTCATAACTAGCGTAAAAAAAAAATAGCGTGCTCACCAATTCGTTCTCTTTGTTGAGTATTAAAAGCGTTTCTGTAGTCTTTCTCTCGGTATTTTCCTTGTACTGCAAAAATTCAGTTTTCTGTTTCGTAATTTCACTCGCCATCTGCTCGACGTCGTTGATCTTTTTTTCCAATTGCGTCTTGCGAACGCTATTCTGCTTGTTCTCCTTCCTCAACACATGGAACTCGTGTATTCTCTTCTCTAAAGAAGATTGTAATTTTTCGCAGAACCTTTGCGACCTCTCCAGCTTCGTGATGAACGGCGTTAATTTTTCATCAGTTGTCTGTAAATAAAATATATATCATTTATACATTTATATTATTTTTAATTAGCAGTTTGTATCAAATCAATCAATTTTTTGAATTCGTGATGAATCGCGTTAATTTTTCATCAATTGTCCATAAATAAAATTCAGTTTTTCTAATTTCAATCAATTACAAATTCCTAAATTAATACGTTTATATCTTTTTGATTAGCAGTTTGTATAAATCAATCTTTTGAAAATTGATTTATTGTAGAAAAAGTATTCATTTAATCATGTCAATAAAATTGGTGATCTAAAAATACACTTACACAATCGAGAGAAACTTTTGTGACCAGGTCGTTCCTTAGGGCGCTAAGTTCAGAATACAACATGTTGTTCGTTTCTTTCAGCTCCTGTATCTGGTGGCTCGTATCCAGCTCGCCGAGGTCGTTCTGGTAGGTCTTGTAATAAGGCACGTAATCCACGGAGTCCTCGGAGTCGCTGCAGGTCTTGGTGTACTTGGTGAATCTGGAACGGCTCAGGTTCTTGTGCTGCTTCTCCTGCAGACCGATCCTAGCCATGGAGACGGTCCGGTCGGGCTCCGAGAACGTCTCCGAGTCCGACTGCGACGCCTGATTCTTCGACACCTCCGCGACGTTCTCGGACCGGCTTCTCTTCACGGAATCGTCGAGCCTGCCGTTCACGATCGCGCCGTCCTGCACGCTCATGCCCTCGAGGGCGCGCACGAAGTCGTCCGACAGTATCTTGGAGCTGAGCAGAACGTCCAGCACGATCTTCTTGTGCTCGTTACCGATCGTGTCCGCGCGATCGGTGTTCTTGAGCATCTCCCTCATAAACTTCACGAGGTCCTTGAGATGCGTGCGCAGCAGCTCGCAGTACTTCTTCGCCCGTTCCGTCTCGTTGCCGCAACCGTCGATCTCCGCGGCGATGTCGGGCTTCGACACGAGCTTCAGCCACTTCAGATAGTCCACTTCCTTCTCGAGATCATTCCGCTGACACGTCAGCTTCTGGACGCACTCACTCAACGTCTTCACGTCCACCGTCTCGCTCCCGTTGACGTAATCGAGTCGGACGGCGTCGTTCGTGAAATTTACCTTCACACCGATCTCGCCAAGCTCGCGAATCAGATCCGTCAGCTGCAGGCTGCTGTCGGCCTCTTGGACAATCTCGGGCTTGTTACGGTTCCTGTCGTGGCTGTACGACGCTGTCATGTGATTGTGCAGCTTGGCGATCTCCTTGTTCTTGCTCCAGAGTTCGGTGTTGACCAACATCTGCAGGTTCTGGGTCGTCACGTGCAGTTCCTTCGTCAGTTGTTCGATCTTGCGATTCTTCTCCTCGACCTCGTCGTTTCGTTCACTCAGTTGCTCGAGCAGATCTTCCCTTCGCGGAGTATCGTCGCGGTAGTCGGTAGTGCTAACTTCATCCATACTGTTCACCTCGACGTGCCTGAGCTTCTCGAGTTCGGCGACTTTGCTCTTCAAGTCTTCTGTAATGATCTGTTTCTCCATCTCCAGAATCTCGATCTTTTGCTCCTTATCAAGAAGACGAACTTGAAGTTCCTACACAATGTAAAAGAAATAAATTTATTCAATTTGTAAAAATATAAATTATAATTTTATCTTTAAAAAATTCATTCATATTAAAAATAAATAAATAAATGTAAGTTTATGATACAAACAACAATTAACGTAAAATTATAGATTATACACAAATTTTATATTTTTAAAGAATTGATTTGAATAAACGAAGATATAAAATATATATTGCAGCAATAAGAAAATATTTTAAATACGTTATTACAGTTACAATATGAATACACCATACATTTTTATAATAAATCTTTCTAAACGTAACATTTAAAGCTTTGTTTTTAAATCAATAATTCAATTAACAATGTTACTGGTTGAAATAAATATTAGTATATTATACAACATATTATATGTATTTCCTGTTCAACTCTTTCTATTTTATATTGTTTGTATAATTATGCAATTAATTACTAATTATATATCCATCAAAGAGAAATATAAATAAATAGTATAAACACAGTATAATTAACGAGCAGAATATTAAAAAGACAACAATGTGTCATTCAATTAGTAACAAAATTAGTTATTTTAATGTTATACGGATATATTGCAACTGCAAATCGATAATATCGTGGCAACAAATAAGAAATTATATTTACATTTATAACGTACCTTAAATTCAACTTGCGTCCGTTTTTCCAAGAGATTCTTCTCAGCCTTTATTGTCTCGATTTGGTCTCGCAGGTCGCTAATCTTGCTTTCCATTTCTTCGAAACGTTGCTGCAAGCATAAAGCATCGTTTCCATATCAATAAAACTCAAAACGTTAGGTTCACTAGAAATGCTTTATTCACATCTATAATTTTGATTACAATGAAATCAAGTCCATGTATATAATGCAAAAAACGGACGTTCGAGAAGTGAGAAAAGAAGAAAATGCAAAGCCACATGCAAGTTATACATTCTTATGCAGGAAAACAGTTAGGATAATTTGTTAACTTTTCGTTTTCTTAGACCAACATCGCGGCGGTACGAGTGTGACAATCGCCGGTCCCTAAAAGAAAAAAACACACATTTCTTGTAATTCCGGTTTCTTTGTTAAATAAATATGTCACTCTGAAATTTATGTAGTAAAAGAAGCTTTGGAGAATGAATGTTTCAACGAAAATAAAATAGCAAATTTTCTCGTCTTCAATAATTGACAGCAATATGTTTTTACACGTTGAAAAGCATGGAAATTAAAAATACAATTTAGCTTATTAAAACAGCATGATCTTTAATCATTAAAGATGTTTTGTTATATTAGTTCTCAAAACTTGGGTTTTGTGTTAATTTTACAATCGCTAAATCCTAAATCTCAATTGTAAATTAGAATTTTTAGTATTTTAGTAAAAATAAACAATTTTCAAATTCATGATAAATATGAGATCATATTTATCATGAATTAAAAATTGTTCCGCGAAACGTGAATAAAAGTGTGCTAAAGAGAAAATCTATAAAGTTAGTACAATAAGTGTCATTTAACGAGGATATTAAAAAAAATAGAGCACTCGACGACAGCATTCCCGATAACACGATACCTACCTCCATCCGCACTGAGGCGCACAGACAAGACAACATATTTAGTTGTGGTTTAACTTAATCACGAAGCAGCAACGAAAGCGGCGATCGATCAATAGACTCGCAAAATAGATACTCTACGTCAGTGCTAGTGCAATTAGCGCTGGTGAATATCCTCTAGCGAAAGATACTATGCCAACATCAGCTATCTACGCGTCTGGTTGTAATTACTTGCTAATTTCGAATTTTGCTACAGCTTTCATGGAACGCAATGCTGACGAGATCTCTTCACTTTGTGATTTAAATTTTTGAAAAAAAAAAGAAAAAAGAGGAAAACTTTAATTTTCACAAATTCGTTGGCTATCTCTCTTTGTACTTTCTTAATTTATTCGACACCGTAGAGCAAAGTAACGACTTCCTCCCGCTATGCTGGAGTTAGCAATCGTGCGCTATTTCCAGAGCGTATAGACACGAGTCTTTATACGTTTCTCGTCGAGATAGCTGGGCGATCGGCGACGAAATCTATCTCGTTGTTGCTCGTATTGTTGTATTCTTGTATTATTATTCGTTCGGCGCTACCGCGACTGCGGCGGCTGATCGGTCGAGATGAATTTTCGTATGAGGACTGCCGCGCACCGCGATGCATGGACTGTAAGAAGCCGCGAGAAGAGGCGAATCTCTATTAATAGACGACGACCGCGTCTTCCCTCACGGTATTTCCGAGATACCAGACGAGACCGTCGCGCGCTTTATGGCTCCAAAATCTTTCCCTGACTAATGCAACGGGCTTCTTAGAAAACTTTGTAATATTAATAAGAAACTGTAAAATGACTGAACTTCGCAAAATAAAAATAGGAGAGAAAGGAAAGCAAGTTTAGTAAAAATTATTAATCTCAGAAAGAGGTGTATAATAAATATAAAGAGATATATGATGTAAAAACAATAAAAAAAAAATTAAGGAAACAATAATTCAAGTAACTGTAGATATTTGATACCTGTGTCAAATTAATAAATAAAACAAAAACAGCTCATTAAAGTATAAAGATATTAAATAAATGTTAAATAAAAAATTTCATTTGGAATTCGATATAATATTACAAAAAGAAATTAAATATTTATAATAAAAATCTTTTATAATAAAGAATACATAAAAAGGATTTCGAAATTTTTTAGCCTCGTTATTGCAAGAATTTTTGAGAATACGTTATATTAATAAAAAAAATATTCTCTAGAGAAACAATTAATTTTTAAGTTAATTGTGAAATTTTTATGTCTAAATATTAATATTGTTTGAGTTATAACTATATAATTTAAAATTATATAGATGTACAAATGTTCAATTATACACAAATGTACAAATTCCTATGTACATTTATAATTAATAAAATATAAACATGCAATATATGTATCCTGAACACAACTGTTGCAATAAACTGGAATAAACAATAACTAAAATATGCATTATTAAGATTTATCTAGCACATCGCGTGATTACATTATGCCATAAAAAATAATAAAAAAATTGTCATGTGCAAATCTATGTAAAGTACAAAATATGTAAAATACAAAAACGTTGGAGATAAAATATTACATAGAAAATATTATTCATGCATTGCGAGAAAAGCGATTGTCAAAATAGTTTAAAACAATAAGAGTCATGCAATTATGACGGCGGTAAAGAGCAGAAAAGAAACAGAAGATGAATTTAGCGATTCTGAAAGAAAGACAGAAGTGCCCAATATACTAAGTTGCTCAATCGTGCTTCTTGACAAAGCAAAAGCGTGTCTCTACGTTTCGGGATTCAAGATAACTTTTATAAAAATGCGTATCGTATAACTTTCTAATAGTTTTAAAGCTTCAATTATCAAACAATTCCGAAACATAAAGCTTGGCAAACAAGATCAGAGATGAATCGCAATATTGACCTGTTTGCAGGAATCGTTTTCGAAATCGTCCGCGTTCTTAACGCCGAGATCCTTCAACGAGACGGGACCGTTGCTGTTCTTCCTCTTGCGTAACTCCGTCTCCAGCTCCACGATCTGCCGTTCCTTGTGGGAATCCATCTGATACTCGCGCTCCATGAAGCCTTGTATCGCCCTAATGGCCTTCTGGTGCTCACCTTCCAGCTTCTTCAATTTATGCTCCGCGACTTCCGCTTGCTTCTGCGCGTTGCACAGTTTCAATATCAACTGCTTCCTCATATCCTCGTGCTGCTTCAATTTGCTGTCCCTTTCCTCCAGTTCCTGCAATTCGAATTTTTCTGATAAGCCAGATCGTCTTACTGGCGGAACAGGCGATAGGGAACGTTTTATTAACCTTTATAAGATGCCTGATCTCCCTGGCGTCTCCACCTAACAGCGAGCTCAAACTCGCCGTTCTTTCTTTACTCAATTCACAATCATAGGCACCGTCGTTCTTCGTTGTATTTTGAATACCAGACACCTTCTGCCCCGTAGACAGTGACAGGTAATCGCTCGTCCACGATATTAAAGCCGAGGGACTGTTGGGCGGCGTACGCTTGCCGTAATTATTTTCACACTGTAAATGTACAATAGATATTAATTATAAATTATACACTAAAGTATAATAGATATAATTATAAATTATACTATATACGATTACAATATTGCAATAGATATTTCAATTAGAGTATCAATTTTACGATAGATATAATAATTACATATATTATTATATATGTAATTAATCAATTACAAATTAATTAATTTTACGATAGATATTATTATAATAATTACAAGATATTTCAAGATTCGGCAAATTTTTCTAGCATCAAGATGTAAAAACAATAATCGGAATCCTGTGCTACCTTTCTTGTTTCAGGAAATAAAGATTGATTTAATTCACCTGTGACAACAATGCACGATGCTTATTGTTGATCTCTGTGAGGGCGTCGTCGCGCGTTTTTACGGATGCCCTCAATTGAATTATCTGCTTCTTCCTTTTCTCGGACACCTGACTGACCTCCTCGTACGCCTGACACTTTTCTTCCAACAAGGCGCTCTTCTGCTTGATCAGCCTGTCCTGCTCGGCGAGATCGTTTTTGCATTGCTGCACAATAGCGTCCCTCTTGAACAGTTGATCCTTCAGCTTCTTCACCTCGTCGCGCAGCGCCTCGACATTTCGCACTTGATCATTGTCTTGATTCTCCCGCAGCCGTATTTCCACGTCCAATCGCTCTCTGAACTGGTCCCTCTCGTTCTCAAGTTCCTGCGCCCAGCTGCGCTCCTCTTCCAGACTGCCGGTTATCTGTTTCACCTAAATCGCGTAACGAACGTCACGTATTACATGAATGCTGTAAAATCTCTTTCTCCGCTTTCCGTGCCACTTTCTTTTTATAGATACTACGTCGTGAAACGAAAAGCAAATTCGTATCGTATTCCCAAGAGGCACGAGGGGAATCTAATTCGGTTCTTCCCTCTCATTGATGCCCTTAAGGGCACTAATGAAGCAACGCGGTTCTCGACATTGCAATAAATATCGGATAAACATATCGTATAACTCACTAATCACCACGTATCATGAAATTATGAGGTTTGTTAATGAATTTTTCTAAGCGTAAGATTTTGTCATCGCGTAAGCAAGAATTTCCTAATTAGTTTCTTTCAAGATTGTTGAAATTATCAAATCTACGTTCAACTCGTCGCAAGAAAAGGAAATAATAATAAGGAATGCTGATAATATTCCCAACTCAGTCATTAAGCTTCATTCTCTGACAGGCATACCTCTGCTTCGAGAGAAGCCACTAATTCTTCCATTTGCCGCAACTTTTCCGCATTTTTTAACGCTTGTTCCGGAGTGATACCGAATGTTTCCTTGTAATACGTGGACGTATCTAGTTCCCTTTCTCGATACTCCGCTAACTCTGGAATAATAGAAAGAATTTACTTGATAGACTTGATAGTAATAGCAGATTAATAGATCTATTAGAATTTTTTAAAAATTATATTCAAATTTTTAAATATTTAAATAATAATCATGCAGCAGATAAAAACGAATCCTCTTACCTCTCTCGAGTTTGATCACTTTTTCTCGTTCTTTTTCAAGCGACTGCTGATATTGATCTTGAGTACGGGAAGTCGCTGCTTTCTGTTCCTCATATAACTTAAAAGCTCTGGCCGCCTGATTAAGAAGGACCTGCTTCTCCATCAATTCCTTCCTCAATTTCTCCAACTCTTCCTAAATAAATTATTTAATCGTTAGTAATTAATTAGTTAATACAATAAAACAGTAAAATCCTAATTGATTTACAGGTTTTATATAATACATAATTATATTTGTCACAATAACTTTTCCTTCCCGGAAAGTCGCGTCCACAATTTACAATGACAAAAGCAAGCCAAGATTGAATATAGAACAAGTTGTGATATTGATAATGTCATAAAAACAAATGTGAACAAAAATAGTTCACAGCGAGATCCGTTAAACGGAATATGTATTTCGAATTTCTTTTATGAAAACAAAAGTATAAAAAGATCATATAAAAGCATTTTATTCTACACGGTCAATTAATTCTTTCAAAAAAATTGTTCTTTTTCTATTATTTATCATATAGAAACGATCTGTATTTTTATTTGTTGAGTGAAATGAACATTAATCAACCTTTAATTCTACGTTCGTCTTGATTACATCCTCGTCGGAAAAACTGATGCCGTTTCTTGTAGGGTTCCCTTCTTCCAGGAGATAAATTCGTAACTTAAGCTGGAAATTCTCCTTCTTCAAACTGCTCAACTCATCCTCGTACTCTTTCATTGTTCTACCGTAACCCACTCCACCACCGCCACCTCCTCCACCTCCTCCACCATCCCCTGATCGCGCCATCGTCGTTCCGTCTTTGTCTCCGGAAGAATTTTCACCATATGGTCTTGTGTTTTCACCTAAAAACAGATATTTTCATTTACAGATAAATTTAAATTCGTTAAATGTACGGGTACAACAAACATATGTTAATATGAGATACACTAATAAAAGATAAGTGAAAAAGTTATATTATTAAAATAATATTTCGTAACAAGTATTATTATTCGGATAATTTATGCATCTTCGATTATGAAGATTAACTAACGTGAAAGATTTGTTCCAAAAATATACTATTATATTATATAGATATATTTGTCTCTCAATTACCATACATGTATATATATTTGGATAAATGAAATTAATAATCTCGTGTTTCTAACATATCGTGTTTCGGACATTACAAACAATATTCAAAGAACCAAATTAGAAATTATTTATGCAATACAGTTCAAACGATTGTTAATTTCTGCTGTTCTACTTAATCCTCGAATGTATACTCGTCATGTCAAATTGCGTGAGTTATGCGTTCCTGTATATGCGGTACCTTAAAAGAGAGCAATGCACGATATCACGGCGCGGGTAATCGCAGATTCGCCTACAAACTCAATTTTCTATCTGTCATTCGAATAATCACGTTCCCAACTCTGGCCGCATTATTTCCGGCACGTGCTGATGGAATCCGTATGAATTTTGAGCAATCGCGACATACCACACGTGCCGCATTAAACCCGAAATTAATCATCTTGAAATGCTCGATTTTCCTCGCTCGATGTCGCAGAGAAAACGATACAAACAAAAGAACATCGTTCAGTTACTTTCAATGCCTACATTCTTCATGAAAATTCCCTTAAATAATACTATAAAATAACAGCATATTTTAATTATCACTTCTACAGATTTTGATTAACTATTTTACGCATATTTATTAAATTCTTGCCCAAGAAATTATTCCAAAAATTATGCCTGCTTTTGGTTATCCTTATGCGAATTTTCTTTGATTAGTAATTCACATTCTTGTTGCATATAAAAAGCTAATTAATTTATTATTGATAATTGATACACAAATATAATTTCTTTCTTTTTTTTTAGTTTTACACATCTATAACATACCTACATGATTTAGCATAAGGAAAATTCTCGTAATTTGTATATGCTTTTATAGATAAATCATACACAGATTATGTTATTTTTAGAATATTCTTCAGATAAGCATCTACCGAATCAATCAGTCTATTTCAGTCTGTCTAGGCACATGTAACCGATGCCAAATCCACCGTGCAAGATTGGACAGCGCCGTCGCCATGTATCTTTAAAATTAAATTATTTTAGCGCATCGTCGAGCGCCAAAAATTCTTTTTAACACTCTTGCGTCGGAGCGTCAAGAAAACCTGGCACATATAAATTAACTAAGATTGTATATATTACATATCTTCCTATTTTATTTTTAAAGAAAATTCAATTATTACATTTCTATAATTAATTTTTTATAACTATCAACATTATTATTTTATTCTTCGTGTTTTTAAATTTTAATTTATATTATTTTTACTAGAATAATTAATATAATATAATATAAATGTTAATATTAAGCTCACAAAAAGGGACACAATAAATAAGTTAAAAATTTCCACCCTATTTTAAAAATAATTATTACAATAACTACACAAAAGTTTCTTTATGATTCAAATAGTTGGGAAAATTTGTAAATGGCCGATGGCGTGCTCGCAATTTTAGCTTTGAAAGAGATCTTTAATGATCGTTTCTTCTTTCTCTTCTTCCCCTCGTTCTCTTCATTCAAAGAGTATACTATTGCAGTCGTAAGAGCTATCCTCATTTATCACTTGCTAGCAATTGCTAACAAAAAACGTCGCTGTTGCAACGCCTGTGACATTGAATCGCATCAATTGATTAACGTATCGTTAACAGTAATCGCAATTGGTATTGATCAATATATTTATTCTCAACAATGGCTATATGATGCGGCGATCGTGGCGCGAGAAGCTGCGTGTCGGCTTTCTGTGCCAAAGACCAGAGACTTTCATACCAAAGATACCAAAGACTTTCTGTGTCAAATCCACCCAGAACAAAAACTCTAAATCGGTTTTAATCGATTTAGAAGCGATCGCCACCTCTCCGCAAGGTAAAAAGGCAAATCACCGAGAGTAACACTGCCCAGGAAAGTCTCTTCTAACAGTTCGGAACCAGAGTTAAAAACTGCAGTAGGGGTCCCATATAGATGCAGAAGAAATCGCCTACGCGCGTGGCACGCGAAGAAGAAAAAAGGCTGTGCCTTCAGTTCAGCAAAAAAAAAAGCAGCCACGCAACTGTTGCATGAATCTTTAATATAGTTGGTTTATACACTACGATCCATGAAGAACTAAGGGTAAGAACCAATCATATTAAGGACCGTTCTACAATAAGAGTAATATGGCGTAGCAAAACTGGGTAAGAAATTGATCGTAATCGAATATGAGGAAAATAATCGACTGTGACTGGTCAATTTCTTATTTTAGTTTGCTATGCCATAGTACGTTCACTGTAACACGGCCCTTTAAAGAATCTTACAGCAGTTGCAAAGCTGCTTTTTGTGCTGAACACAGCCATCATGTTCCACATCAATCGGCAATTTTCAACTTTAATCAGTGCAGTAATCTATAGACGGTAAAATCAAGGTCCAGCCTACCGAGCGCGATTTCTGATTCTTACTGGCTCGCCCTCGAGGGCTCCTTGAGAAGAGAAAAGGCCCCAGCTGCGACCTACCGCATCCCATTCCACGAAGAGCGCGCTTTATAAAGTTGCTACATTTTGAAACGTACGTGCGAAATCGCGAGAGGAACCGAAGCGGGGGACACCGCGCCACAAAGGAGATCCATTCGCGACGGCTGCACAAACACTAACTGCGACAGAACAACAAGCAACGTCGAAGACACAAGGCTATAACTTGTGGTTAAAATTATGTTCTAAATGCGCGTGCGATGTCGTATAGACGCACGTCACGAAGGTCGAACGTTCACGTTGCGTTTTCCGATTGATCGTCGCCCCTGAAGAGCGTGAATGAAATTATCTCGCCCTTTAACTCGAGCACGAAGGGCGGCGAACAGTTTTGACATTTAGGGAGACAATCTATAATTTCCATCTATTCTATATCTTATCTATATTTTAATTATGTCAATATAACTTGTTTTCTATAAATTTTAATTAAATTAACGAAAGATCTATGCAACTCTCCATTGAAACAAGTAAATGTTCAGAATTAAAAGTAGAAAAAGCTGACAATAAAAAAAAATCAGCCCTGCAATAAATACAATAGAGCGTGTAAAGCAATTTAAAATATCTGCATGTATCGCTTGTACACGAGTCATACGATGATAACAACTTTGCGACAAGCCTATGTCGAAATTACGAAGCTATGTAGAGATAGCAGATTAATGTCCGGTGGAACGCGCGAATGATTCATTTTGCCTAATTAACGATTTATATGTGTACTCCCATAATCTTCGTTCCAAAATATCACGCTGTCGCGTGGAATAACGACCGGCGAGGATGATCATCTACTACAGCATCCTAATTTTAATTACGTCTTTCCGTTGAAGTCCAAATTCATATCAAATTCACGGTACTGCGAGGCTAAATGTGCATTCTTCGAAATATTATGTATTCCACATCTTAATATGCAGAAATATGAACAAAACATATTTGTTGCATGCGCTCAGTAAAACAAAGAAAACTAACTTTTCCAAACATGTCTTTTCCGCGAAGTACAGTGTTTTACGAGAACGAAGACTTTGTCGTGAGGGCGCAAAAGTTAATACCGTCGTAACGTTAAACGTAAATTCGTTTTTCAGCTGTCACCGGCGGGGAGACCATCACGTGTCTTAATAGCCGACGTAAAAAGCTCCAGGGAAACTCGAGAGAGAGAGAGAGAGAGAGAGCAGAGGAAGAGACGCGAAAGCTTTGCGCGCCCACTAAAACAAATCTATTTCCTGTCTGGCCGGTCGGTGGACCAAGTGTCGCTTTTCACAACGTCCCCCCCCCCCGCTCCCCCCGGTGATTGTCGGCAAAAATGCAACTGCAATATCGATTCGCGCCGGCGAGTAGATGCCGCGAAGCGAGAGAGCGAGCTCACGTATTTATAGATGACACATTTAGGCCAGAACGGTTTAAACTATCTTTATTTTGGCAGGTCAGCCTCCGCGCCTCGCGGGGCCTCCGCTCCTCTCTCCAGATCTCCAATCTGGTCAGTCCCCGGCAATTAAAATCTTATACCAACCGACCGCGAAGACCCTTCGCCGCTCCCGATTTCGCCTCGACGAGAATATTTCTGAAAGCGAATGTATGCCGTGTCTCGTCACTTTTTGCACGATAATTCTATTATTGGTACTCTCGTCTAATAATAATTAACTGTTATAGTACTCTGATAGGAAAAAAAAATCAATGCAAGTTAAATAAATAAAAACACATAATTTTAAGAGTTAACGACTATCGAGTTTCACGAACAAAAAAAAATTGTTTTTTCGACACGTCACTCGGAGTCTTCATGCCGGAGTTTGTATCTATTAATACATTACATCTGGTGCATAACAATGATCGCCTGAGTCATCCATACGGTTATTATCATCCGCGAAACAGCTTCTTATGGAGCATCGCTTCAATGCTTTGACACAACCGGTTACTTTTGTCTTTAGCAGGAGGCGCAAAATTGAAGCTGAAGCTTTGGCTCGCTCATCTCCGCGGATAACAAGAAACGGGCTAATAATTCCTACGGTAGACCTGGATTAGAAATGAACGATATCGCCGATTATTTCGAGAGCCCGGCTACTAGTAGAGCGCGACTCCACGTGCTTGTGGCCTGACGACACACTCGGTATCCCAAACAGACACTACGCTTATCAGGATGTGATTACAAAAATTTTAATATGCAATATATTGCATAATTTAAAATATATCTTGGAATAATCGAGAAAAAGGAAAAACCTACTGGAAAGAATGGCTCAATTTGACATTTCAGATTATTTTCTGTGTAAGCAAACATTTAACGTTTCAATTTCTTAATACGTTATTTATTTTATATGTCATAGATTAAACATTTCCATATTATTATAAGATAAAATAAATATACTAATATATTCAAAGGATACATATTTTCAAGATGAAGTTGAGAACCTTCAAAACTACTTAGTCCATTGCAGCTGTCGACATTACTTAACGAAATCTGACGACTCCTGGGAGTTCTTTCTTAATGATAATGCTTTTACTTTTCTAAATTAATACATCGCGAGAGTTCATAAACCATTTTAAAGAATTTATATTTGTGAACAGAATTATGATGCAGAATATAACAAGTATAAAATTTCAGAATCGCGTTGAATCCGCGATAATAGTAAGAATTGTGTTCACAAATGTAGAAAATAATTTTTCTAGTTATAAATAGTTAGTTAAAAATAAAACTCTTTTTACAAATTAAGCCATAGGCGGATGGAAACAAATACAGAATTGTATTTTTCTCATGTGTTACAGAAATAAATACACGCTACGTCTCGCTACTTCGTTTGTGCTGCTCGAGTGGTTCCCCTACCCCGTCACGAACGCGCTTCTGGATCCCCGAAATAAATGCTCGCTTCCTGTAACGCGAGATCCGCAGCAGACATTTTTCAGACGATACAAACAATCGTTTCGGCCGGATTAAGAAAACGCCAACGTTAATTGCGTCCATCCCATGCACTATTTCGTTTTGCGACATGCAGCGTATCCATGACCTTGACCATTTTACCATTTTAGAACCCCTCGAGAACTGAATCGAAGTGCGGATGTGCTTCAATTGATATAATTTAAGCACTGCTAGACTGTCACGCTGACGTCAAATAAATCATAAAATTTGGGTCGAGCAGTCGTGACTCGCTCGGATCTTTTAAATCTCAAACATTTGAGATAAAAGAGTTCGTGTACGAGGATCGTATATCCTTATTAACCTTCATACCGACAAATTATCTATATTTCCGATTATATTATTGGAAAAAGTTAGCAAGAGTTTGAATTATTTAATGATTAGTTCTTTCCGTAAATCTTAATAAAAAAAATCAAAGTAAATAATTTATCGAAACCAAATTTGTTGTCATCAAAATTCATGTATTGATATAAATTCATTTCACCTAGTATACTTGTTACTTCAAAAATTAATCTTATATCATATGTGTATATAATTTGCACGCAACAGCCTAAGTTTTTCACGTACATTCTGCACCTTTTCATCCTGACTTTCATCCTGACAGATTCATGAACGAGAAAAAACATCGCGGAAGCGTAAAAATTGGCAGATACATTGTGCGAGACGCACGAGTTACTATACTCGTCGGCGTCGTTCGCTCGCGTAAAACCACGAGCAAGAAAGTTCATTGGCCTCGAACACTACGGGCGTGAGATACAATTAGGCGGCCACAGTGTCACGTGCTTACGTATATCTTTCCCTTTAAATCAAGGAATATAAATAAAAAATGAGTAACTAACTTCCGCTACCCTGATCCATCCAGATCTAACACGTGCACAGCTCTTGTTCCTGTTCTTATTCTCTTTTTCATTATTCTTAAATTAGGGCGTCATACTCTCGCTTTCCCTGAAACGTTAATTGTACTATCGCTCACATATATACACATGTGTGAATGTGTATTGTATAACGTATATGAGAGTGTTTTCGCGGTGTATCGAATGTGGATCCAATGACTGCAGCTATTCAGTCATCCCTATGCGAGATGCGTAGATATTAAATTCTCCTCCCTGATCCATACGGAGCTGCGGAGTCTCGGTAAAACAATGACGGACAATCGGCGACTAACGGCGGAAAATGCAGATCATGCGAATGGGAGTAACGAACTGCATTGCCGCGGCACACAAATTAACGGCGACCTCCTATGCATTTTCACGCGGCCTCTGAACGGACGGATGCAAATGTTCGCCGTGTTCGAGAGCGTGTGGGAAGACCGTGCGCGTTATATCTCGAATATGAATTGAGTACTCATGAAATTACTTGCGATTCCGAACCATCTGGCTCACAGTGCATAATGCATCTTAATATCAAGTTGAGATTTTTCCGAATTTGAAGGACCCGTTCGCATTTGAGCACAAAAGAAACGTGCAACACGCGCGCTGAGAACCGCTTTATGGATCTCGCGTCGAAAATAGTTTCTATTTGTCTTGGACGAACAAACCGCGCCGATCGAAAATTTTGGGCATCCAACCGGTGTGAAATTCGATTGTCAGACAGAAATAGTAACTATACGGAATATATTCGTTTGTAAATTAAATAAAAAATAACCTTTCCCAATTCTGCTATTTCTAATCTACATTATTTCTCTGCATATTTGCTTAGCCTAATATTTTTTAAAGATTGATTGAAAAATTATTTGACAAAGTTCCAATTCTAGGGAATTCCAATTAAATTCCAACGGTAGCAACAGACAACAAAACTTTACGTATTAATAAATTTTGAATAAGTTTTTTTTTCATGAAGATGTTTAATTGTTTTATTTCCAAAAATTTATAAAAAATAAACATCAAATTTACATCAGCATAAAATAATAAAGAAATTTATCTGTACTCCTGTACAGATAATAAATGTTCCTCAAAATAGATTAATTCTTATTACTTCCCGACTGGGATAAACGGTAGCCAAGCTAGGAGCAGTATAATTGAAAGTGTGGCTAACAGCATCACATGCACGTTACATCTGTAGCCGTAATTGGAATAGAACCGGAGGGGGGATTCAATTACTTAAGGGAAATGACCAATAAAGGTGGGCGTGCGAGGGAAAAAGATACATAATCGAGTCACCCTATCGCGCTCTGCAATATCGATGACGAGTCTCACTCAAGTGGCGAACCGATCGTGGCGATCTATCAAGATATCTGCCGATACATGATATAATCGCCGCTTACGAGGCCGTAAATAATAAATACGAGTGTAATCGTTCGTTATATGATCACTACGATCTTCCGCCTCGCCTTCGCCTTTATAGAGCGTAAAATTATATCCGGCTATTCTTAGGAACGTCCGACGAAAGAAATATTAATTGTACGCATCATCGAAGAAGCACGACGCGCAGATAAGAGAAGAGAAGACTTAATATCTGATCTTAAATTTCGCTTCTTTTAAAATTCGTAATTATTGAACTTATTTTCCCAAGCTTAATTTTATTTTTATTTTATCTCAAATATTATAGATTTTAATTGCTAAATATTATTGGATTGTAATTAATTGCTGCATAACAGTAGTTGAAAACTGGTCATAATATTATTGCTAATTGAAATTACAATCATATTGTCATAATTAAGTTTGATAAGATACACAAATGATGTACTCACCGTTCGTCAATGGCAGGGTTTGACTCATTGTGATCTCCTGCAACGGCATGTTGGTGCTGCGACAAAGTGAAATAAAAAATTAATTATAATACCATATTATTCGACATAAAACATTTTATAATTTTGAACAGAGTAACGGAGTAAAAAAATGAAAATTACGCATATTTCTTTAGATCTTCAATTTCATTAAACACCAAATGATTTTAATTCTTAGTGCACGTAAAAATGTTATCAAAATATATTCATATGAAAAAAAATTAATTCCCTGCAATAAATAATTTTAATGTTATTGAAATGAAAGATAACAAAGAATAGTGAATGAACAGATATTTTTGGAATGAGACCAAAAATGGTATGAAGGCGCCTCTGGAGATAAGAAGGACCGAATTAGAATAGATAAAACGTTTGAAAAGGATCAAAGTGAGCATCGAGTGTTCTATTTTCAGGACTCCAACGGGACGTTTAAAGCCAAAAAACTATAACAAAGTCAGCCTCGACACGTAAGCGAGAGGACAATGATTTACAGGAGCATGAGGAATACGAATAAGGTTTGCCTGCCAGTATTATTAATAGTACAATAGTTATTGATAGCTCTGTGATTTTTTATAAAAACTGTAATCCAATCTTGTCTATAAATAAGTTGTAAATTTTTTTGTTATAATCTATTTTTAAAAATAAATAATAAATAATTTATATTATTAGTATTTGATTAATCCTACATCATATTTTTCTGTATGTTTTCCATTATTAATTAATAAATTAATTTCACCTAGACTAAAATCAATTAACAATTGTTAAGAATTTATGAGGAAAGAGCTGACGGCTAACAGAATAATTTAATGTCCTCATCGAAATTTTCATTATGTAATAATAAAACAGAACATGCCATTTCCGTATGCACAGAATAAAGCCTGTTGTACGAAATTAATCGTTTGTGCCGAATTTATTCTGTCCCGACCGTAGCTTTACCTAGAAATCGTTACTGGTACAGTTTAAGGTGGCGCAAAGTGTTCTCTACGAGGGTTTATTAATCCGCTGCAGCCGAGCCGTCTCGCAGCTCTCTCGCGCGACGGAACCATAAGATTTCCAGTAAGGTTTTATTTAGATTTCACGTAAATTCTATTTCTCTCTCTCTTTCTCTTTCTCTCTCTTTCTCTCTCTCTTCGGCTCGTCTTCCGTTGCGATGCAAAATGAGTAATTAATCTGCGCCTCGCGCGTCGTCTTTTCCGTTATTCTGCATGACGAATCACGCCAACGAGCCGATGCACGATTTCCAAGAAGGATATCAGACAGTTCTAAAATTGATACGCTTTAAAGGGATCGTATAAGTGACTAAAAATTATAAGAGTTGAATATATAAAGTGAAAAAAAATATAACGAATTTACGATGTAAAAATGAAGTTCGCAGAATGTACATAAAAAATCTAAGGTACATAAGATTCCGTCGTTCACGTAAACAGTATGAAATAAATTCAGATAGTAACTAAAGACATGATAATATAGGTGTTAAATACAAGCATAACGAATGCCGAATTTTCGATGTAAAAGTGAAGTTCGCAGAATGTACATAAAAATCTAAAGTACATAAGATTCCGTCGTCCACGCGCGTAAACAGTATGAAATAAATCCAGATAGTAACTAAAGACAAGATAATATAGGTGTGAAATACAAGCAAAAACGTCCACAGTGACTCAGGATCGATAGGTGACTCACCGTTCTCTTTGAGTACGGAATTTTTGAGAAGCTAATGGCGTTATTTATAACAAATACTTAATTTAAGCGAGCTTAATCTTGCTCAGCATACACATATATAAAAATCAAATATATATAAGTCTAAAATAACTTTTTCTTTAGGAAAAGATTGCTAAAAATATGTATGCGCGTCTCTTTACCTTTCATTCGACTTACATAAACTTCTTGATCAAAAGAGATAACACACGGACTATTTATCGTAAGGGGACTTTAAGTTTGACTTCTCGAGTCATTGAATATCTCGTCAAATCTATTTATTTGATATTAAGTATAAAACAACTAAAAAAGATAAAATTTTTGTATAAAAACTATTTTTTTTTTTTCAATTGGAATTGAATATTATTGCAAAATTCGCGCTGTCTCATGCGCAAAATTATTCAATTCGTCTAATAATAAAACAAAAGACCGGCATTTAGGAATACAGATTCTTTTGCGAATATCGTAAGCTAGAAATAGTAAAAGCCATGATTGATATCTACCGAATCTCGTAAGCTAGAAATAGCGAAGTCATGGGATGCGTTTGCAAATCATGACGCGTAGAATCCGTGCAAAAAGTATCACATTTCGTGGTAAAGGCAATATTCTAAGAGAAACACACAGTCGTAATATAGAACGGCGACAAAATATGCTCGCGTATTAAAGATCATGATGGGAGAAGATCTATAATGAGTGTCACGGAAACTGCACATTTTCCGCGAAAAGCGACGGCTTAAATTGAGTTACAGCTGCTGCATAACATTGGTAACATATAATTGATCAATTAAATTAAATTATTACTTCACATACTATTATATACCAACAAAATTATTGTGTATTATTTATATTAATCATTTGAGTCACAAATTTTTGTATCAGATCGATTCTTTTGAAATTTTGTACCCGAGGATTTTTCGAATCGCTGATTACGAATCAGAAGTCAAAATTTTTTAATTTAAAATAATCGATCCAAAAAATATGATGGATAATAATTCAAATAATTTTTAGTAAAGTATTTAGTATTTCATGATTTATAAAAATAAATTATTTAGTCAGGAACAGATGTATAGTGACCAAAATACCAGAAACTAACAAAGTAATAAGGCTACTTTAACGTTTTTTATTTCATATCGATTTCGCCAATTTGGATTTAATTACATTTTGAAAATTTTGATCTCAGATTAGGATTCAGTGATCCAAAAAACTCCTAGAACATCATTATAAGAAATTCAAACTATCTATTTGGATTTACAATAGAAAATATTGATTTTTACATATTTTTCAAAAATTTATCAATTTGTAATAGAAGAACAACGTAACGAAAAAAATATAAAAAATTCTGAAAAATATTTTAGGATAGCCTAAATGAGCCTAAATTGATATTGACAATAGTTTAATAGAAAATGCACTTTTTTAAAAAAAAGAATAAATTTTAACAAATTTGTTTATAACAATTACGCAAATAAAATTTATGGTTGTTTATTTTTTTAAACACTTATTTGTGTTCTAGGGACTCTACAAAAACAAAAAACCGATAATTAATGTCAAGAAATTCATCAAAATAATTAAAAACTGAGCAGAAAAAGGTGAGACGCTGCAGAGCGTTCCATCATGATGCAAAGGATTAAAATACTATACACTGCAAGATTTTTGGGTAGATAAAAAAAACTGAGAAGTTGACTTGCGTATACAAAGCATATCACATGTTCGCAAAGTCGTGGTATAATCTTCGGTTATAATTAGAATTAGAAGACATGTGGTAGACATGAGGAAGTGAATTTCATATTGTCGTTACGTAAGAGAAAACTAAAATGCACATATACACGGTGCATCTAGCGTGCGTCTAGTGCGTCGCCCATAATTATTTGCTCACGCTATACATTTTTCTCAAAAATATTCATAGAAGCTATTTTATGCGTAAGCATTGCGTTACATCATAAAGAGAGTGAGAAGGTATCTCAACCTGCAATCCTATTAAGTTATCAGCTCAGACAATTTTCCAGGCTTGCAGGAAATTGAATTCTCGTCAACAACGCCCGAGCGGCGGACGCAGAAGACACGTGCACAACTGCCGGCTTTCGACTTTACCCCTGCGTGCATCCGACACCGTTATATATTAAGCGCTACCCTTACACCAGGTTTAACCACTCCGGATACAGACTTCTCGGAATCTTGCAGTTGCACCGGGGACACGCGTGTCGTTAGAGGGGCTACAAAAGACGAGCGCAAGGCGCGCATTATGCGATAACACAGCGTTAAACTGCTTGAGTTCGTTCACGGTTGTAATTACGCATTACGTGATACAATATGATTCATTTATATGCTTTCACGACAGATTGTGAGGTGATTCAACTTTAGATTACTTCGAACAATGAAGTAATGTGTCGAAATTTAATCTTTTTTTTTTTAGATTTTTCTTATTAGAAATAAATTAATATCTTTGCTACGAGCTATAATTCTCGTGAAATACATAAAAAATGTCACTATTAATTAGAGCTATTACTGTATTAAAGAAAAAATAATATATTAATGTAGATAAGTTTAAACTATTTAATTTAATTTAATTTTACTTTACTCAATTTATATTTGAAATATTGCATGTCTTCTATTCTACATCGTTTAAAAATTGAGAAAATGAATTTCATAATTTAAATTAATAAAGATAAAAATTGGAATTAAGTATTGAAAAAATATCGCGATAAATTAAAATGCAGCGCGAGTCTCGTTAAAAAAAAAATGAATAGCGATACGTTTTTTGACAAACAGAATCTAGATAAAGACGGCGCTTGTCAGTATACGAGATGAGGAAGCAGTTTCATGAAAGGGTGCACCATCAGTTATCGTCTGACAACATGGTGGATGAAACAGATAATCGATACGCAGTATATAACAGTCGAGTGTAGCAGCAGCCACATGGACCGAACGTGCCACTCGCCTGAATATCTAACACTAACAACGAACACAAGTAACACATCAAAGATGCATTACGATTCTATGGACCATCTGATTTATGTAAACTTTCGCATCTTCTTTTAAGTTATAAAAATCTCTAACAATGCAAATCTCTAGAAAAGTGAACAAATAAAACATTTAAAAAATATTAAGCTAAAATTTGATCCAGCATCATCCTTATTATTAATAAAATTAGTTAATATTAACTAATATATTATTAATATAATTAGTATAAAATAATTTCTATAATTAAAACAATTATATTAGATATTGATAACATTGTCTACAAGTAAATTACACGGTAGTTAATATCACTCGATTTTTTCACTTTTCTACCGAGTTCATCAATAACTGTTTTGCTGCAATATTATAGATTATGCATTTAATAAAGAATTAACGCGAATGACATATTTTCATACGAGATCATGCAAACTTTTACTTGGTTACCACACATGCAACTATCGCGTAGGTGTCAGCCGCGTGCAAAGTTTCCTCAATTAACGGTTCGTTAAACGAATTGACCGAGCGGTTAAATAATTAGATGGATCCTGTCAGTAGGACTTTATTTGTAATACGATGTCGCGACTGTGTACCTCGCACGAATAAGCTATACCCGCTGTCTGCATTGTAATAATTTTATAATTTTTATTCAATCATCATTTGACTTCTGGCTGTCGAAATGAGGAGAGGGGGGGGGGGCAATATCATTGCAAGATGCCCAAATAATACTCAAAGAGGTCATAGGTATGTAGATTAATGCGATGTATTTTGCTTCATGCATATGCACTATATGCGGCTGACAAACTCCTACCTTACACGATAGAAAAAAAATTGTTACATACATTCCGAATGTGGGATAATAGTACGATAATTTCTCACGCGGTTAATAAACTAAGTGATAATTAGTGATAGATTAGTAACAAAGCTATAATTGTAAAAGCTCTCATCAGTTTGATTTAAAAAGAAATATATTTCCTATGTTCGATATAAATCGTCAGATTCTGATGATGCACTTTAGTGCGTTATAAAATTATTAGTTTCTATCAAAAAGACTATGCAAGTATATTATAATACGCTAGCTAAATGCACGTTAAAGGATATGCAGTAAAGAGCACAAAGAAGGCAAATTAAATTATTATCTCGTCATTAACCTGCATTAACCTTTTTAACGCCGACAATATTCTCGGAACAACGAAAGTAATCCATTATTTTCGACAGCAAAAACACGGTTTATCTTTAATATCTTTTTCTAGCGCGATAAACAGTGTTTTGACAAAAGTAGAGTTTAATTTCTGTTAAAACAATACAATAAAACAATAATATTTTTTAAGTTAAAACGTTCGTGAATAGTTACTAAATATTTACGACATTAAAAATCTCTCGACAAATATCGATTTAAAAAAATGTACAATTTAATAAAATTCCACCTTATCATTCGGATTTCTCGTTTTATTTTCAATTCTCCAATAATTCTATGTTCATTCAAATTATCGATAAGTTAAAATAATACGTTCAAATCACAGAGGCAGATAGAAGAAATTGCAAATTTAAATAAATTAATTTACAGTAACACCGAGATTATTATTGAGACTTACTACGCTGCCTGACATTTCGCGAATCAAAATAATAAATCAATGATTAATCAGACTTCAATATTCACGACACTCACTTTCGGAAGGAATTATAAGGGCCCCAGGCGCCGGTCCTCGTGGACGGCACATTCTGACTCTGGATGGAATATCTGCAGCCACCGAGAAGCATTGCGTAGCAATTCGGCAGCAATCACGAGGCGAAAACACGTGATCCGTACGCACGAACGTCACTAAATCCTCGGGCACTGCAAAGCGCCGCGATATCGTTCGGGCCCTCAAAAACAACAAAAGTCTCGAAAAACGGAGATCAATTCTCCGTGAAGAGAGTACAATGTACTCTCACGACACAAATCTCGCCTATAGAATCCTAAAAATATTACGTCCTGATCTCTTCTTAAAAACACAAACGACGCGGGACACGACGGTGTGTGTTTCCTCGGGGGGGGAAAAATCAGGATCTCGTGTACGATCCTGCGCGATCAACCGTCGAGACTGCACTCCGGTTCTCGCGTAGACGAGACATACCACCCTTCCCACCAACCACCCTTTTGGCGCCGCGTGAGGGTCGGAGAGAGGCACGGAAAGAGTATCTGGGATATCGTTTCTCTCTGCCCGCGAGGGCGGCAGCGTTAGCGCGAACGTACTATAACGCTCCTCCGCGCAGCTGGACCGATCAATGGCATCGGCTCTCGCGCGAGATGACGCATCAGAGACAATTCCGCACGGCCGTTATCGTATCCCGCGAGTCCAGAGCGCGAGACATTCGCGGTCGGTGTCACGTCGTCGGCGGGTGATCTCGCGACGATTCGCGGCAATTTTACGCGACGGCCGCGGCTCCCTGAGACGTCGACGGGGATGAAGTCTTCTTTCCCCTTTGTTTCAAGATCTGACGAGGCTCCGCTCTATCTTATCTCGACGACGATGGCCCTCGCCAAGTCGTGATCCGCGCGCGTAAAGTACTGCTGATCCCGTCAGTCCGTCCGATTCCGTTTACTCGGGCGCTCCTCCGACGCAACCACGGGGGATTGTGTTTCGAAACACACGTCACTCGCGTATCGCCGAGCGTACCGAAAACGACTGACGACGGACGGCGGCAACACGAGTCGAGCAGAAATAGAGGGATGGAGGCGACGGCGCGGGGGGGACAACGGGGAGAGGGGGGTAGGAGATGCGAGGGATGCGCCGTGTCGACCGACCGCGAGAGTAACCGGAGGAGAGAAGGATGAGGGGACAAGGCAGCGTCTGTTCTATACTGATATAAGATTCGGGAAAATGCAAAATCTGAGGAATCTTAAAAGCTTGAAGGACGCGAAGTGCTTCTTAAATACTGAAAACTATTCCACATTTTTCTTTTTTCTTGTGTGTAAATAACGTTTAACTTCCAAGTATTAATTATTCCCTTCAGCTTCTTTAGATGAAATTCTAAAATCCTTAAATATTCAATTTTTAAGATACTTATTTTTTTTCAATTCTCGATATATATATCTAAATAAACATATATATTCCATATTTTTCTTTTTTCTTATATAAAGAACATTTAGCTTCTATTAATTATTCCCTTCACAGCTTCTTTAGATAAAATTCTAAAATCCTTAAATATTCCTTATTATAATAATCCTTAAATTTTTAAGATATTTATTTTTCTTTTAATTCTCAATATACATGTACATCTAAATACACATATATTCCACATTTTTCTTTTTTCTTGTATAAAGAACATTTAGCTTCTATTAATTATTCCCTTCACAGCTTCTTTAAATAAAATTCTAAAATCCTTAAATATTAAATTTTTAAGATACTTATTTTTTTATTCTCGATATATCTAAATACACACTCACAGCTTCTTTAGATAAAATTCTAAAATTCTTAAATATGAAATTTTTAAGATACTAATTTTTTTATTCTCGATATATCTAAAATCGATATATCTAAATATACAGATAATTTTGCAGACATATTATATACATTTTAATAACTGTTAAATATACTGTATAAATAATATTTTGCGGACACTTGTCTCGACAACTTTTTCAAGAATTCATTATTTGCCAAGAATTTACACTTGTCTATTTAATTATTTCTACAAAAATGATAGATCGCATCTGTTAAAGCAAATTGATGCTCCTAGACTACACAATCGATTTCAATTTGTTCGTTCAGTGATTAAACGAATATTCGTAAATGCCAGTGTCAGGAACGTGTATTTGTATTTACTACAAGTTTCCCTGATCTTCTCGCTTTCTTCGTTATCGACGGACGTGTAAGTCAGCACGCGGTAGCCAATGTAAACGCCGATGTACTGTCAGATCAAAGAGAAGCGGAAGGGAGAAAAAGGGACCACATGAGAGAGCAACGCACATATACATCAGGGAAAGGGGGAGAAACGGGGTGTAAGAGGAGACGGAAGAAGAGAGGAGGATGCGAAGGGTCGGCTAACTGTGAATGACAGAAGCGGAAAACGGGGAGAGTACGGAAGATCGCGTAAAAACACGAAAACGAATCTAACGCCGATCTGAGAGCTCAGGGTTTCTCAACCGAACAAGTGTGTCGATTGTAAATGTAATTGCAAGCGTAATTGACGCTACGTCGAGAGACGAAAGCAAAACGCTACACAGGATGTTGTGCTTCGGCACGCTTTTTTTTCTCCAGAGTATGAAAGATTTTTGAACGTTTGACCGACGTTTGTTACAGGCTGCGTTCCGTTTGGCGCTTATACAGCTGGTTACAGCGCTCACAAAATCATTTCATCCTTGTTGTTTAACAAATATTAAACAAAGACGAATGATGCTTATAAGCGCTGTAAGCGCCAAGAGGAACGCAACCACAGTGATTACATCACTCGCGAGATATTTAAATAAATTTAAATATTCAAAATAAATTTAAGTAATTTAAAATAAATTTAAATACTGAAGTGCATTCTCGTCCAGGAGTTCTTTCTTGTCAAACTATCAAGCTGAACTTCGACCAAATTTCTGATTAATTTAAACGGCAATTAATTTATCGAGCGTATACCTTCGTGTATTTCGCTAACATGAATTATTTGTCTTTTGCTGTTCGACAAGAATGATTAGATTAAGGTGACGATGAATTACATAGCTAGAAATTTCGCTGTAAGCGAAAGTCGTCTCTGCCGATTGAATCGCTGATTAAACTAACAGGAGTTTAATCGAAGTCGTCCTTGACGGTTTGAGATTGACGCACAGCGCACAAACGAGAGAACTGATAACCGCTGCGATATGTAAGACGATCCTTAACCTCGTAGGGAGATAACCGCTGTCAATTGCAAACAGTGAGTGAATTCACAATTTATTGTGGAATACATGTTGCAAAATTACGTGACATAACGGCACGTCGTTCGCATATGTCACTTACGTTCTCAATCCCTACACTGTACTTTTCTTCCCTGAAAAAAAACCGCGTTTTTCAAGTTAAAAAAAAGTGTCGATCCCAAATACAAGACAACTTATTATTGTGATTTCACTTACACACAAAATAAAAGAAGGATTAAAAAAATAATCTAAAGAAGGAAATTAATTAATAAAACAACGGTCTAAAAAAAAAAGATAAATCCGTTGATATCGATTAAGGCGCTCTATTGTTTTCGTACTCACATTGTTTCCATACTTGTACAGTTTTATAAACAATGTAAATACGGGACGGCGTGACGTCACTTATTCTCGCAATTCACGCGCGAGTAGTATAGGCATGTAAACATTGTAACGAATCGGATCATCTCCGGTGCGTCTCGACACATCGCCGGGGACGCCGCGGTCGTCGCGCAGGGTACGCGTTTCACCACGAGCGGCAGAAATATATGTGTCTATTTATATTTACAAACGCAGCGAGCCCCACGTGCGAGAGTTCGTAGCGAGTGCGGGACCGCGGAGCGGAGGGGGTTCGATCAGATGCAGAGCAGAGGAAGGATATACCCATCGCACTGGGGCTCGGATGGCGGATTTTACTCACATGTCGAACTCCGCCGTCGGCGCGAGCGTCTCCTCGAACTCCGTCATCGTTTCCGGCAGGAACTCTCACTCTCACCGCATCCCCTCGCACACAGAATATCCCGAACGCGGGCGCGAAACAAAGCGCGTGGACAACAAACCCCGGCGTTGAAGGCGGACGGCGGCCGATCGCCGTTACTTTTCAAAACGATGCTTCGCGAGTCGACCGCGCCATTTGCCGCGGCGCTCTCACGTCTGCCAATCGTCCGCCAGCGCTTTCAGGTCTGCCAACGTTGTCGACGTTGTCCACTTGAATTGATTTTTCACTAGAGCAGTGGTTCTCATGAGAATCAACTTGAGAGAGGTTTGTTGCGCTCGTTGTTTCCATTGCGTTAATCGGCGTATGTATATGTATGTATGTGTTTATTATAATTCGGTCATTCGCGCTATTCTGCGCTAATGCATGCTTTATATCGATTCGAGATATTCGTTCTTGGAAACTATTTGCTGTTTCATCGTCGAAAATTTATATTATTTTTTTATTTGCTAAAGTCGATGCCTTCGTTCAGCAACAATTGTAATATCTAGAGTAGAATCAATTTTAATTGTCACAGTGAGTTTACGTGTTAGCTCTGTGTAAGAACGTTCGACTTGTAGTTAAAAGGTCTCAGCTGGTTCGAAACCGACCGTGATCAGCCTACATATGCACTAGATTATTTGAAGGAGAAAATATAACAATATTTCTCCTTACCGCTCTTATTACAGAGAATAACACGTAAAATTAAAAAAAATCAAAATTTTGTTCCATAATTTATTATGTTAATAAATGGAATAAAATTAATTTTTTTTAAATACTCTGATTGATTAGTTTGATCTGCTTGTTATTTATGTATGACTGCAATTTCTTCTAAATTTAAACTTAAGTTTTCTATTATTTCGTGGAATTTTTGTTATAATATATTATATTCTCTTCTAATACCTCGTGTTTTTTGAGACAACTGTAATTTTTTTGAAGTATTAAATCAAGCTTCTGACATCTATTTATCATCTTCCTTAACATCTATATAAAAGACATTTTAAAGTTTTATACGTCAGTTTTAAAACTTTGTATTTGGGAGGGAAGGTTTAAATTTTCCGATATTTGCATCAATAATATATCTACTAATCTTTAATATAAGCATCAATATCTAATTAATAATCAATTTGTGACATTGATTATTAATTTATTCAAATGAAAATAATTTCTTAAAAAAGGATCTTATATAGTTAATAAGTTTTCTCTTAGCTATTTTAAATTGTTCCATTTCGTACGAATTAGAATGCAAATCATTATAGATAATCATAAAGGCGAACGCTTATTGAGCTTTTCCGTAAGGCAAATGAATAAAAATAAAATTGAAATCTCTCGCCGAGAAAAAAATCAAGATTTGAAATCGGCAGAATATTTAATATTCCAGCTAGGTGAATCTTTTCCTGGGCTGCGTTCAGGAATTCACGATATATCATGTTATCCTTGTTATTCACCGAATGTTAAACAAGGATAAAATGATATCTAGATGCACCTGGGCGAAGTTTCTGAACGCAGCCCCAGATGGACAGCCGTGGGGTTGAGAACCTCTCCCTCTCTCCACAATTCTGTCATATCGGAGTAACGGCAACCGGCGATGTGACAGTTCGGAATTTATCATCGACTACGGCTTATATTTACGGAACGGATTGATCTCACGCGGCGATATCGCAGAAGATAATTTCAATAAAACGAACGCGACGAGTGTGACGATCAAGTCTTGTTAGCGCAATTACTCTTGCAATACGTCAGAGTGAAAAATAGGTGGCAGCTACGTGGAAAATTAGGGGGCAATCGTGGGCACTTTCGTTTCCGAAATTTCGATCGTTGCGACAAGCCAGATTTCGTGGCGTTTACATTTTTCAGCGCTAAATCTGACAATCATCCTCAGTCGGATGAATAATAAGCTTTGAATTATCGCGGAAAATCGCCCTCGGTGTCCGAAGCAGTTGTCCTTAGTGTTCGCCCGAGATGGAGGATGCGCAAGAGGAGGTTAGGTCGTGAACATTTCTTTATAATTTTAATTAAACAAAAGATCTTGAATAACGAATCTACCGTCAATGTCAGACGCAGCGATTGAAATTATGTAAATTAGTGATAATATCTCAATTAAGAGTTGCTCTGAATTAATTTTATAGATGCTCCTAATTGTGTTAAGCTTAGAGTAGATTTTTCCTCATCAAAGATTTGGTTCTACAGTCACTTATCCAGATTTATTTGTCTGTTTTTTTTTTTAGTGCTAAATAGCAAAATAGTATTTTAATATCTTTAACCAAATCCTAATATATTTTTGTCGCTTCATGTGAAATGATTCGAGATGTTATTATGGTTCCAGCTGCAATTTGTGGTAGACGATGTGAGCAACATTATCAAGGAGGCGATCGAGGTGTCAATAGGTGGTAATACGTATCAGCATAATAAAGTTAATCAATGGACCTCGAACGTGGTAGAGGCGTGCCTGGGCAATCTAACGAAATTACAGAAGGCTTACAAATATATTGGTACGTAGGACTAATTTTCTAATCTCGAGAAAGATTTTTACATTAATTTTATATTAATATTGACCTTTATATATGCTCTGAAATGTATGATATTCTTGTGAATTTTGCTTTTCCTTAATATCGAATTGTACATTTTTGCAGTAACTTGTACAATCATGCAGAAAAACGGAGCTGGACTTCATACCGCGAGTTCGTGTTACTGGGATAACGCTACCGATGGCAGCTGCACGGTGCGCTGGGAAAACAAAACCATGTATTGCATTGTATCTGTCTTCGGACTGGCCCTATAAATTAAACTATCCTGCGTAACAAAATCCTGCGCTTGAGAATTACATATATTTTGGCAATTATAAGATGTATAAGTAAACGCCACTTTCAAAAGCGAATCGTTTTGTTTCCTAAAGCTATTATTGGACAAAACTTCATATTTTTGCACAGGCTATGGAAATTGGGGGAATAGCAGAGCACAAGTGATTGTGAAAGTAGCTACGCAATGCAATGATTAATATATATATATATATATGTGATATAAATAAAATCGGGTGTATGTACACAAAGTAGATTGCGCTAATATATATTTAACTTTCTTATATTTACTTTTACGAAAAAGGATATTCTCTCTATCTACATTGTAACTTCTATAAAAAATAAATGCCACAAGATATCGATAATTCTTATGTTATTGCACAATAAGATAATTGTGCATGTTATGTGAAATAAGGTATATATTTAGATTCAGCAAATAATCTAAAATATATACAAAACGTTCCCCGAGGAACTTTTATAGTAAACTTGTGAAAAATACTTTTTTTTTTATGTCACTCTTATCATTTATTTTAGGTATGTAAGGTTTAAATGATTGTCGTAGAACGAATTTAACAAATTTACGTATGCAAGTTTTTAATTTATTTAATAATAAGGAAGTAATGTTTTTTTTTTACTAGATTATTATAATTATTCGATTATAATATGGTAAACATTTTGTATAATATTAGATTATTTGTCTTTGTGTAAATATAAATAAGCAATTAGAAGTAACGAATATTGTTAAATTAGATATTATTTGCATTAATCATGTCGTCAGAATGGCGATAGAATAAAAGCATAGAATTTTGCCGTCAAAACAGAATAAATAAAAATAAATTATTTATAAAGAACAACGCCTTTTTTTTCACAAAGGTGTGAACAATTGAACGTTGGAGTTCAACGCAGGTTTATAGTTCGGTGGTCTGAGGTAGACTTTCATCGTCGCTTAGAATATCGTCATTTAAGAGGATTAGATTGTAATTTAAGTTACTTCCGAATTCATCGTCGATATATATGTCCTCGATCGTATATTGGCTGCCTTGTATGTTCTGTAACAAAGATCGAATAAACAATTTACGTTAATACACAACAAAAGTGACTTGTTCGCAAAAATTAAAAACAAAATTTGTAACAGATCTCAGATCTAATTTCATCATGACTTCAGTTGTATACAATTTAAAAAATTATAAACATAATTTTAGTAAAAAAAAATTATCTTTACTTTTTTATTTAAAAGAATCCTTGGGTTATGCGTCATAGCCAAATTATTCAGTCTTGCGGGTAGAGAACGTCTTCTTGGTGAATCTTTCATTACGACACTGTTTATAGAACGTAAATTAACATAATCTCTTTCGTCTGCTCTAATGTCTCTATTTTTTTGGGAGGTTGATGTAATCCTATTTGTAAAAGGTATTTTATTCTGATCCACTTCTCTCGACCTCATTGACTGTTGATTCTGCGCTGATGCTTCGGACTCGATTGACGTTTTCGTAGTCGTGGAGCTGAGGCTTTGGCTACTTATAAAAGCTTGATTGAATATTCGTTCCTGTTTCGCGGCAGTTTCGTTATTAGCTTTTACACTTTCAACTTCGTCCATCCCCAGAAAATCTCCGTTGCCAGCTGTCGATCTTTCGATAACTTCGATCTCTTCGTTGTCGTTATATTTCATTCCGTACATGTCCTCGAATGCAGCCTCGCATTCTTGTATATCAGTTAGGTCGGGCTTGGAATTGTAAATTTTGGAAGGTGTTGTCGAGCGTACTATTTCCGTAGCACGGTCGAGGGCATCCTTCAGGTTTTGTATAGATTGATTTGGAGTCGAAAGCTTCGTGGACACGCCGCTACTCGTGTCTTTTAGTGACTCTTTGTTATCTTCAGTACAATTACCTTTAATGATAATGAAATAATAAATAACTCATTCAGTAGTGAAGTATTATAGAAAATATACGGATGAAATTAATTTTACATTGATATTTAATATAAAATTTTGAAAAATAGATCTCTCTCTCTCTCGAGTTACCTTTTTCCGCAATTGTATATGTATCATCAGCATTTTTTACACGTGGTGTGGAATATTGTACTTTATCATCATCAGTGATAGAAGTGTTACAAACTATTTGTTGCGATAGTGAAAAATCCTAAAAGTAAATTAATAAATTAAAATACATAGTGTTAATAGTATGTAGCTAAAATATGTATTATAAATAATATGTATATGCACAAATATAAAATTATATATTATAAATGTTCTATGTATTACATTGTACTCTTTACTGTTGCGTCCCATTCGTGATAAGCAAATTTCTTTTTCTTTCCTCCACAATGTTGATTCGTAAAAGCTTTTGGTATCGGAATGCAAAACCTGCGGTTGCATTATTGCATGTTTAATACTGGAAGGCATGCCCGTGTATGGTGACTGTAACAGAAAGATAATGTATATGAGTAAGCTATTAGAAGGACATTGTTTACATATTCATCTTCACTCCATTTCATATTTCTACATAAGTTAGGACATAAAATATGCTTTAGAGACATTGATTTACGTACATATGCGTATGTCACTAATAAAACATTCGAAATAAAGTACCTTTCGCTTTGGTGTATAATACAACAATTTTGAAATAGCTCCACCATATTCACTGGGTGATCTATTGTATTTAGGCTCTATAGCGGTTGTATGACTAGCTGGTTTACATGGTATATAGTCGGGACTTTTTTCTTGCGACAATAATGAGCTCGTGGCTTTTGGACCTGATATACAAACACAAAATCACAAGTGTTATTAAATTACTACAAGATTTTGAACATACAATTTAAAAAATTATAAATATAATTTTAGTTAAAAATATTATCTTAATTTTTTTATTGAAAAATATAGTACAGAGATAATATATTTTTATTTAAAAATAATTAAATTATTCTCTGTTATAAAAAGTTATTTTAACTTAGTGTTGTTTATGTGTTAATGAGATTAAAATAGAAATATCAAAATGTCGATAATTTTATTGAAACAATTGAGGAAGA